ATGTTGTCTCTTCATTCTTCCACCCTACTCGTCAAATCTTTTTTTTTTAAATTTCCATGATTCAAAGCAAATCGATTAACTACCTCAGAAATAAGTACGGTTTATTCGCTCCAATACCACCTGTATAAAACCACGCAAAAATGTGAATATTCAAAAGCTCAATTTGCATATTCATAACAGTCGGTTAAGAAGTAGACTGTACAGATTCAGGTACGTGTACCACCCTGAGATGATTATCTTCTGATAAATGGGCTGCAAGACAGTGATGGTGATGGAGTATCAATCCCAAAACAGTTTTAGCAATCGGCCTTGAATTAGATCAACAAATACATTTTCGATATAGTTTCCGTTGGCTTTGCGATTTCAAATACTGTTACTAACTTTTCGAAGGGTGTTTTGGGGTCAACGCAGCTCTTTGATAATAGCGGTGCTCAGTGCCATATCTTAAACAATAGCGTGCCTTTGGATCATAACAAAACGATTCTAAACCATTACATAGTTTATATAATTTTGGGTGACATGATTAATCCTCCCTGCACACTGTATTTGCAATAAGTGGAGGTACGAAAAATGATACAATGCCGAGATAGTCTGGGAATACATTTAAATTCTAGGGCTTTTCATTGACTTCTCTTATGAAAGTGCTCTCTTTATACATCAACATTAATAAATGAATATTACACTTATACAAGTCATCAGAGTATAAGGAGTAAGGCGGTCACTCTTAAATGTAAATACGCTTTTGCATGGTTGTCAGTCAGATCATACAAATAAATGACAGTAGTTAAGCACACCTTACTGACAGTTTTCAGAATACATGCTTAAAGTATGGACCTACTGCTTAAAGTTGATAATTCACATCGTTTGTTGTCGTTTGTTGTCAATGGTTGTTAACGATGTTCTATGACTTTCCTCTAGTATAAGTTTAGAGTTTTAGATTTGCCATGAGTTCTTGGATGAATGATACAGTACAGCTATTAGTACAAGATCATATTTTTGTCTTTATAGATAAGATAACTATTATTTAGTAATTAGTAGAGTAGAATTTAATGTAAACCTCATACACAATTTTATATCTGTTTCTTCTGTTATACTACGAAGATCTGGGGTCTCATCTGATATGGTGTATAGTAAATTTAATATTGAAAGGCACACTTTAATATCTCCCACGTGTATTTGAATTGGCCATGTGTGTCTTTCTCATAAGCGAACTTCTTAATGACGGCAGACTCAACTATAAACAAACGAAACGAGAAGGGTTTCAATGTGCTCAAACGCATTTAATCTACATTTATTTTAATGCTTGTATCATTTTTATCTTAGTAACCGATTTCAGGTTGTCCTATGTAGTCAAATGTTATAAGAAAACGAAGATAAGATGTAGTGGTGTTCCCCAAGAATCAGTATTAGGCCCAGCTCTATTTTTTGGTCTGTATAAATCAACTGCCATCAGTAACTGATTATTTCATTTTGTTGCTGTTTGCTGATGATTCCAACCTATCTCATACTTTTTTTTAGCTTGCCAGGGCGAAATTAGTGTAAACAAAGTGAATAACAACATACAGGAAATACAAAAGTGGTACATTGCTTATAAACTTACAATTAATTAAATGAAAATCAATTTCATGTTAATCAGTATATAGTTGGAGGGCGGAAATATGTATGAATTTCAGATTCTTTCATATCGTTTCATATTCTTTCATATTATTTCATATTTCAGTTGTATATTGTAAGATATTGTTAAAATTTCTTATTATTGTGAAGCATCATTTTTTTCTCCAATTATTTCGTTTCCTGAACTTCCGTTTGCTCGGACCAAAATAATTTGTTTAGCTATAAAGGGTTTGGCTCGACTAGCACAGATGCTTTTATCTGGCCCTTTTTACCTACATAAGTTTACTTCGTATGTCTCGTTGAAGAGACTACAAGAGATCCCGCCTTCGCGCATCCTACATAATTATTTAGCAATGTATTTATTATGTATTACATGCCAACATATCGACTAAGACAAATTACAGTTACTCATATTTCGATATTGTATTTGTGGATAATAGTGGGAAATTGATAACGGATGGCGGCAAGAGCAATGGTATGAACAATTGAAAAGGAGATAAGGAACGAGAAATGATTGGTGATAGAGAGAGATATAATGTCTTTTCATTTTCTCTAATTAAACATGCCTCGTAGTCGTAAAGGTATTTAAGACGTAGCAGTGATTTAATGTCATATAATAGTATATAGTACAGGGATCAGAACAATCTATGAAAAATTTGACCAACTTGGTTTCAATTGGTCGCTACGTAGCATATAAATATTATTCTGTTTCGTTGCTAATACAATACTCTACTAAACACACACACACAAAACAAGAGTTAAGTATTTTATCAAATGTGGGCGACATTATTTCTAACTGGACTCCAAATATAATTGGAGTCTTGAAAACGCCCAATCTGTATGTTGTTGGCTCATTAGGCAAACCAAGCAATATGAGTTTTCTGGACATTGCGGATAGCAAAAATTCTCTCTTAACTTTACACAATGATATTTGCATATTAACGTAGTATTCTAGTGGTTTGGTATAGCTGAAAAGGTCGTAGAGCAGCAAACTTTCAACATTATTTTTTATTTGAAATGCTTCAAAATAAAAGTTATCTTAATCACTTTGGTGGTATTATAGTATCGGCAATGAGGACATAATAACGTTTCTTTCTTTCTCTCTTTATAATCTTTGGTTGAAAGTTTTTAAGCCATCTTTAAGTTCAGATATAAACGATACGATACTAGTGTTGATACGCAAGCAAGCGCAGACGACAGTTGTCCTCGCTCTTGTCACAGTTCATCCCCTGACCTCTGACCTCGCGAGTGGACAACACAGTCAGGTTCAAAATCGGAGGAGGAGGATCGTGGAAAGCGGGTTTATGACTCGAATCGTCAACGGCCTAATTACTCCATGTTTGAGAGATTGATGGGTATTACTTCCAAACGGATTTATGACATTTTCCCGAATGTACAGGAACAGAATTTGACAGAAGATAATACTACTGGCTGAAGATCTTTCGAATTGGACAATGACAATACAAATGCACCATCTTCACCATATGCCTTGGTTTGATGTCCTTTTAGAGGTCTCTCCGTATGTTTCCAATTTCTCAAGTAGCAATAGTGTTTTGCCTTGAATTTTGCAAGCTTCTGTAACTTTGTTTTAAAGGGCGGGTGACCACAAGACTAGTTGTAAGCACGAGGAGGTAAAATAATGTAACGGTATTTGAACCTAAAGTTGGACATAGGAAGGATGGGTAGGAAACATTGACAACAAACGAATGGAAAAACAACTGTATAATAGTGGCGTCTAAAAAGAGAATTTGCGTCGTTATCTACGCATGATGGAAGGGGGACATACTTTAACTCATGGCTCTCTATCCCATACAAGCTTGGTCTTTTGTTGTTTCACTCAGATTGGGAAATGGGGGGGGGGGGGGCTGGAGTTCACAATGTGTATGGACGAAGTCTTGAGATTTTTTTTTCTCTCTCTGAAACGAATGAAACGTTCGTTCTCATTGTTTGTAGGCTTTCAGAGCCTCCTCGAAAGAAAAGAAAAATGTCCCAGCATGTCCAGCGTGTCTGCATTATCATACTGTATGGTAGTCTCCAAGGCCCTGACTTATAATAATAATAATAATAATAATAAAGTAGCATCGTGTCTTGCGTGCATTAACCAAACTTCTCTAAACCTTATTATGAAACAGGTTATTGAAAATATATTATTTTAAGTTATAAAAATAACACCCTATGATATTTCTATTATTGTTACTTCATATCTACCCTTGATATGGATGATTTAATGTTTATTTTATCATTTAATTGATTTCCAGTGCTAAAAACACACGATCGCAGATACTTTCGAAAAATTACCAAATCAATTTTAACATAGCCTCGTTCTAGTAGGTCCATGTCCTAACATACTGAAATGAGCTATCTTGAAATGAAGTATTACAATGGGTATTGAAAGTGCGTTTGAATTGTTTTCTCGAAAGTCTTTGCGATCGCTTTAATATCATGAAATCTGCTATAAATATTTGTTGTAATGGCTAACAGGCAACCCGTATGTTGTTAACAATACACACTGATACAGGGAACTGTAAGTGATATTGAAAGGAAAACCTTTTATGCCCTGAGAACACTGCCCCGATTTGTTTGGAAATGAGAATAATCTATTTTATTTTGTAGACTGATGTATAGAAACCGCAATTTGACGTATTTAATCCCACTAATCCCTGGACGTAAGCTAATTATAAACATCACAAGATCATGCATTCGAACCTACATTTATACAACGACGGTGTAAACTAAAAGTATCTTAATTGAAATAGGTACACGTTATGTGTAATGACAAATAAAGACTAAAATGATATCATCATATTTCCTGAACACTTCCGGTTCCGTTTCTTGTCACTGAAGAAGATTGGTTGAATTTCCCACGACCTTTCATCCCCTATCATGAAAAAGCTTGGTTTCACGCAATCTATGGTCATGACGTGAATTTAAATTAAGACTATAATTAAGCAAACAAAACATTTGTTTTGGTATATGATACTGCATGCCCCTATCCATGAAACTACTTCCTCACCAAAAAAAAGAGGATATTAATGGGCAGATAGAAAGAAAAACAAAACTAGCAATAACTATACATTCAAACACAAAATCACACAAAACAAAACATTTTAACTAAAAGCATATAAAATGTTGCAAAAATAGACAATTATCGTTCGAATTCTGTCAGCCATGAGGATAATCATGTATCTTACTCAAGTGATTATGACTAAATATATATGAGATCGTGATCGCGAAAGCTTTACGCAAGCGTGCCAAGTAGGGTCAGTCGTCTGCGTATATGTCGACGTGTCTGGCTCAATCTATTTAAATCCAACTATTTTCAAGAGTGAACATTTGATATATTTCTGTGTGATTCATTCTGTTTGTTTTTTCTTTCTTTCTTCTAGGTACCCACATCATCGGTACGGATCGCAAACGCGGTCGCCAGACCTACACCCGAGCTCAGACGCTGGAGCTGGAGAAGGAGTTCCACTACAATCGCTACCTGACGCGTAAGCGACGCATCGAGATCGCCCAGGCCGTGTGCCTCTCCGAGAGACAGATCAAAATCTGGTTCCAGAATCGACGGATGAAGTGGAAGAAGGAACGAGTACGGGACGGTGCCGGCGATGAGGAGGACGACGATGCAAAGGAAGGCGAGGGCGATGACGCCAAAAGCTGCAGCATAAAGGAGGATGAGGACAATGAGGTGGACTCGGATAAGGACCAGGGAAGTCATTAACGTCATCGTCATCGTCGTCGTCACCGTTAGTGCGATCTTTTTTCCTCTTCATGAACACTTTCTTCACCATGTGTATTTTTCTTGTTTATGGGAATCATACTCACTTTTACCGTCAGCGTCGATCTGCAACGATATTGCCCTTGAAAAGTCGTAACTAAAAGATGTCTCCGAATCTGAAGGGAACGTCGGGTAATTCTTTTTATGTTACGCTCTTTTCGTAATTTAGCATTATGATGTATTTATGATAATGAAATTAGATAATATTATTCAAGAAATGTTCTCATACCAGTAGCGATTTGGGATTTGACGTTATTCTACCAATTGCATAATGCATAGGTGTTTTGTAATTTTCTCTTTTGCTTACTAACTTACTATTCAAAATAGTTTGGTTGTTATTTTGGAATGCATCCAAAGTAAATATGTATTTGAGTTTCCAAAGGCAGACAATTATCAAGGAGAACAATAACAGAGGAGGTCTTTCATGATATCACATTTAGAATGAAGGTGTATCATTTTACACTGTTTTCCTCCAATATTTATAAATGCATTCTCTTTTTGCCAATCGAAGCACGAAGAAAAGACAAATGGAAACAAGAACATGTTTTCATCTTTATCTGTCCTTAACGCTGCATTTTTTAATACATTCTAAAATTTCCAATTCTAAACTCTTAACGACACGTTAGGTGTCACCTTTCATTCTTGATATTTATTTCTACTTTTATCAATATTTGATCTTGTTAGTAGAGAAAGGTATGGTGCATGTTCTTACTTTCAAATATATATCTTTTTTAGATAACTAATGGAGATTAAATAAATGAACATGTATGCATTCTTCTCCGCTATATGGCGAACACAATTTAATATCATAGTGATTCACAAATGAAATGTCTGTATTCCAAAATTTCCTTTCTTAAGAAAATCATGAAGCAGTCTAATTGAATATTACGCATATACCCAACATCCTTGAGTAATATATGATTATTAACTGGTTTCGTATCATATTTTCTTTCTACGATAAGAATTTTAAAACGATTTGCATACAGGTCGACATTTTCCTAAGACAAAGCGGTGCCTAAAGCCTCTTTGAACTGTCAAATTCAGTTAGAAGAATATTGAACACAGTGATCAAAAAGTATGAATTGTTCATTTATATATCTGAGAATGAAAAAGAAATATACCTCCAAAGTGAGACAATATCAGTGTATATTATTCAAATAAGAAAAAGGAGTTATTTCTTAACCATGTTAAAGCAGCACTCCAGTAATTAGATGAGTGATATGGGTGCTCTGTCATCTGTTCTGGCGGGGTTTGGGTTAGGGTTACAATTGGGGTTGAAGAAGGATTGGGTTTAGGTATTATGTTCAGTCAATGAGCACGGAGCAAAACATGGCAAATATAGTCCAAAACTTCTTGTAACATTTTAAACGGTATTCCAATATGTCCAACTTGATTTTCAAAAGCTAGAGTGCACCAAAAAAACTTGACTAATATGATGGCATAACTATAGCATTCAAAGATATAATACAGTTTTCATATTTTGTCAATTTCCAGGACCCTTCTTTGTCGTTTTTTGTCGGTAATTTCGAGATCAGTGAACATCTCATCTGTAAATAACATAACATGTCGTTCACCTAAAGATCTAGAACTGGTTAAATCTTTTCAAAATGTTATTGTAAAACATTTGAAGGGACATATTCCTTGTATTATACTCGTGTTGTAAATAAAGTACGGGATATGCGTTGTTTAAATCTGTTTCTTGGTAGGCACTGATTTTATTATAACATTTACTTGCGTTAGATTTTGAAGAAGGATGGATAGACGGATAAACGAATCGGTCGGTTTTGTTAATTAATCATACACAACAAATATTAATTCATGTCTACATCTTCTGCTTGGTTGTTAGATGATTAATTATTCCCCCCTCAATATTCATTATTCATTATTGATTCCATTCCATGCATATATCATACATAAAAAACATCTTGAATACAATAACCAAGAAACAGTTCAAACATAAATGAAATAATTGCGTGTTCATCTCATCTACGATGATGCTCATAAATAACTAAATAAACAATCCACATTGACTATATACACTGAGAATCGATCAGGAAAAAAAAATATTGAATGAAATCTATTGTAATTATAACACCCGACATATAAACAGAACAAACAACACACATAAACACAGAACAAACAAAAAGCAAAAACAACAAAGAGAGAGAGAGAAAGAGGGGGGATAGAGAGAGAGAGAGAGAGAGAGAGAGAGAGAGAGAGAGAGGGGGAGGGGGGGGGGGGACAGAAAAGAAAACAGAAATAGAAGAGGATGGCAGCTTGTAGCGCCTGGGAAGAAAAGGTCAAGCAAGTATAAATCATAAAACTTGCCATCTAGTATCTAGTTCCCTTTAGTATTCGTAATGAATTGTCAATGTATTTCTTTCAGTTCCTCTTGCTTGCCTTGGGGTAATTTCTCTCTTATTTCTCCCTACTAAGAAATAACATATATTTAATTACTAATATAATAATAATATATAATAATAATATAATAATAGCCTAATAGTCCACTCCAAATTTTATTAAACCGAAACGGAAATTCTTTTTGCCCAATTGACACTATGACCATGACGGACAAAGAAAGCGGACAAAATATACAGTTCCTCAGGTGGACAAATGAACATCCCTTCGCTCCTATTATGTAAAAAGATGAATATGCATGTGACACCTGTTCTACACATTTTTACATAATAGCAGTGAAGGGATGTTCCTTTGTCTACCTGAGGAACTGTATATTTTGTCCGCTTTCTTTGTCAGTCATGTTCATAGTGTGATCGTGAGCCCGGCAGCCACTGAGCAGCGCCAGAATCATTTCTCAATGACAACATTATTAATTATTTGCCTTGATGACGTTGTTTAGTGAAGTTCCATTTGAACTTCCTTCCATCCAATCTCTTTAAGAATAATTGTAAGATGTAGCATATTACCACACTATTCCCATAAACCCTTTACCATATCACATTCAAGAAATATGTGCTGACATGTTTCTTCATCTTTCCCTTCTAAATTAATGATCGATTGATAAATTGATTGATTTGTTAATTAATGGATGGATGGATTGATTGAATTGTTGGATTATTGATTGAAAGGTTGGTTGAATGTTTGTTTGATTGATTGATTGATTGATTGATAAGTTCTTTATTGAATAAGTTTAAAGGATGGTTGGCTGTCATGTAATGATGTTTTTGGTGGTTTGTTAGGTTGATTGGTTAGTTAGTCACTTGGTTGGATGTCTGGTTAGATAGTTTGTTGGGTTTGCTTCGTCGGATGTTTACTTGGTTGTTGGTCAGTAAGATGGTTGGTTAGATCGTTGTTGGTTGGTTGATTGGTTGGTTGATTGGTTAGTTAGTCACTTGGTTGGATGTCTGGTTGGATAGTTTGTTGGGTTTGCTTCGTCGGATGTTTACTTGGTTGTTGGTCGGTAAGATGGTTGGTTAGATCGTTGTTGGTTGGTTGATTGGTTGGTTGATTGGTTAGTTAGTCACTTGGTTGGATGTCTGGTTGGATAGTTTGTTGGGTTTGCTTCGTCGGATGTTTACTTGGTTGTTGGTCGGTAAGATGGTTGGTTAGATCGTTGTTGGTTGGTTGATTGGTTGGTTGATTGGTTGGTTGGATTTTTTGTTGTTGTAGGTTGGTTAGTTACTTGGTTAGATGGTTGGTTGCTTAGTTGCTTGATTTGTTGGTTACTTGGTTAGATGGCTGGTTGATCGGTTGACTGTTTTGTTACTTGTTCCGTTAATTGGTTGGTCACCTCGTTAGTAGGCTGATTCGCTGGTTAGTTGGTTGTTCCAGTGAATGTTTGGTTTGTTCGGTTGATTTGCTGTTTTGCTTGCATGCTTGATTAATATCTTAGTTAATTGTAAAATAATGTTATAACAACTATAGCTTTTCCCTCATAGAACTATAATTGGGTTTTCACACATCACACCCCTCCCTCAAAATAAATGTTATCACTAGCAAAATCTGAAAAACATCTTTTGTTGTCGATTTTGTTTTGATTATAGGCATTGTAATTCACAAATACACCATACCCCCGTAAATAATCATGAATCCACCCCTGTCAAAACACAGATGACTAGACTTTAAAAAAAAGGATCCATTTACAATTGTTTAAATTTGAGAGTATTTTGCTTTATGAAATTTGAATATAAGTGTGTTAAGTACAATAAACACATGTGTGCTTAAATTGTAAACAAGCCCTGACAAACATACATTGCCACCAAACCAATGATATGGGTCCCGTGACACAGAGCTTTAGTAATTTATCGTACGGTCATTTGATTGTACAAACATTGTAGTTTTCACTTGCAAAATATCAATCAATCATTGACTGCAAGGCCCTGGACAACGTTGTGTGCCTTGTAGAAGAAAGAAAAAAACTCCATCCTCCTAAATTAATAAATGAAAAAAGAAAAGAGTAATAAAACTAACAAACAAACAAACAAACACACAAACGTACCCATTCATGATCACAAAAAGCATACAAATTCATGATCACATCGCTTTGTCGCGCCCTACTCTTCTTAATACCACTATTCCCCTTCTTCACCCCCCCCCCTCCCTCCGCCTCTCACCAATATTTGCAATATTCGGTCATGACTTTCCCGCAAACGCGGAACTGTAAATCAGTATACCGGTGATTAAACGAAGTCAATGGAGTGAAATGCTATAACTTTCAACACGATAATTACCATTTGAACTACATTATGCCACGCGATCTCCATATATACTTTTATTGAAGGGCAACTATACTTTTTTTTCCTGCATGGTCGACCCGCTAAAGAGAGACATTTATATTCATAGATGCCTCGTGGAGAAACCATGAAATACGATTATTGCGAGTAAGAGTCATAAAGAAATCGAGAATGGTCATAACAATTTGCCGAGATAGGAAAACAGATAAATTACAATAAGCCATTATGTTGGGCGTACAGACATCCTCGTTCATTTTTCACTTTCCAGCTATCGTCAGTTGTTTCTATATTACACCGAAATGTGGACAGTTGAATGTTGGAACCTTTACATCGTGTATTAAACGAAAAATAATGGCATGTTCAACATTTGGATTTGGTGAAATACTTTCTTTACTTTTGAAAATCTAACCCTGTTTCCAGGATCCCGAACCGTGTTCATTTTGTTTTAGAAAATCAAGATCGTCTTTTGTTTGTTTGTTAGTTTGCTAAATCTTTATCATGATTGTTTAATGTCTAATTTCTAGAAAAATACACCCATTTTCGTTTCTATGAAAATTTAAGTTACACTCTTTAAAGGCATCGTTCAACGAGGTTAAATCTGAGATGCACGGCCCTACGCGTTATCAGTGTATGTGATAAGGTGTAATATTGAAGCCCTAAAAAAAATTGCGCTTCAAAATGATCAAGAAGTGCCTCAAAAAAGTAAAAATCTTTGAGTGACAGGTTTTTACCATACTCGTTTTCCCCAATAGACTGTAGTGTTATGAAAACCGTTAGGAAAACGCAAAATTGATTTCGATTTCCAATCATAAATATCTTGATAATCAGACAGGCGATCGGCTTGTAAAAGTCATGTGGTTCCTGACTAACCTCAAGGTTTATAATTAACATTGCAGCATGAGCTTAATCCAGGATTTTGTTTCAGAATCTGAGACAAAGATACCCAATCCCTTAACCAAATTGCTTTCACACTCTTCTCTATATGATGATTATACACTTTATATTTTATCAATTTTTCAACCACTTACATCGATTATTACGAATTGAGAATTTAGTCTACCATAAATTATTCAGTAATGCTACACGCCCTACCCCCCCCCCCAAAAAAAGACATTGAATAAAACAAAGATTAATTCGCCCCAAATTAATCAATTTAAGTCAATTTCATATTTGATTTAAATGCTGGCACATGCTAGGGGTTTCAAAAACAATTTGATGAGATAACTTTTGCCACCCCAACAAATATATATATATATATATATATATATATATATATATATATATATATATATATATATATAAATATTATTATTATCATTATTATTTGTATTACTATTATAATATTAATAGTAATAGTGATTACAATAATAACAAGGATGATAATACTAGTAATGCAGGTTCAATTGACGAGATGGAAGGGGGAGGGGATAAAGATAAATAATTCTTAGGATTGTACACGCTTTGTCTTATTTCGAGTGATATTTCAAAATCCAAAATAAATCTTAGCAAGAGTAGGCCTTTAACTTTTTTAAATATAAGGCTATCTTTGGTGAAATCACATTGTTCCATGTTACTTTTGCTTATTATTTTGTCGATAATGGTTTCGCCTAAAATCAATAAATAAACATAATCACGATGTAATTAATAACCATTTACGTAGTAACATAAACGTTTAGATAAAGAGAAAGCGAAGTGTCAACTGTTGAAATTTGAAAGTGAAGAACGGGAATGTAATTATTCAAACAATACTTTTATTTTCTGAATTCGTGCACCATCAAACATTGAAATAGGCTAACATCAGTGACGACCTTACATGCACACAAGGGATGTTCAGCTGGTTAAACTTATAAACCTAGTTTGAACCCGATCCTACATTCACTCTCTCATACTTGTTTTCAGCCTTCTCAAATTTCTTTTCTTGCCGCCAACCCTTACCGCCATCAAACGAAGAAAATATCACGAAAGTGAGCCCCGAATCTTCACGCTGATGTAGAATTTAT